CGTTCCCCACCTACGTGTGACCCCGCAAATTTAAATTCAGACTCTCCATACCCGCTGGTAACACTTACGACCCCCGAGAGGTTTGGACGGATAAAATTATTATCACAGGAACCACGGAAGCTAGAAGGATGAAATCTTGTGGGCATGTCCTCTGCCCATGTGCTACCCAGAAAATTTAAATTCAGCTTTCCGCTTCCCGCGGGTATGACGTACAGCCCCGTGAAAATTTTTGACGGGTAAGTTATCTCGGGAATCACGGAGTATAGGAAGCTGAAATTTTAGGTTAATAACTCCCTGCCCACGCTCGACCTTGCCTATACAAAATCAACGTTCCCACGCTGTTGAGTACCACCTATGGCCTCGCGAAAATTTTTGCGAGTAAATTATCTCGGAAACCACAAAGTCTACAAAGCTGAAATTTTGCGGTAATGACCCGTTGCCCACGTACGACCCTACAAATTCAGCGTTACCGCGCTGTCAGGTATCACTTACAGCCTTGTGAAAATTTTGGCGAGCAAACTATTGTCTCGGGGATCACGGAAGGATATCCACCCTTCAAGGTTTTGTATTCAGCTTTCATGCGCTGGTGCGAGTAATTTTTAATTATTTTTCAACATTTCAACTATTTTTGCACAGACTAAAGTGGGAAGCAGTGAAAATCATTAGTACGCAATCTTCCGGTGGAGGGAGTTGCACGAAACGCATGATCGCATCGGCTAGTCTGGTGCGCGTTGCTGTTTATTATGTTCTCCCATGACTTTTGTACAGCATTACCACTGACTGATTAGATGCACAAAGCACTGCGACGTCAAGCTAGCCAAAAAAAAAACGTGGCGCAGCGACTTTTCGGCATAGTAGAAGCTGCTAGGAATAGTACCCTGTGTTGCCTTTGGCACTGTTTAGATGTGCTGCTATTCCCGAGCCCCCGATATTTGATCTTAGTAGGGGATTTTACTCTCACGTTGTAGAAGTCGGTGTCCACTGTTTCGTGATTGCCGTAGCGGAGGCTGCTTCCATCGGTATTCCTGTATTCTTGGCTCTTGTTTTTGTATTCCTCTGCTCTTTTTTTTTATTTTTTTTTTGGACGTGATTGTTTGTAGATGTATTCTTGGAGAATTGTATACAAAGAAGCCGTTGTTCCAAGGGAACAGCGAAATGGTGCAACTTGATGTAATATCGAAATTGTGCGGCACGCCATCTCCAGAAAATTGGCCGGATGTCATCAAATTACCCCTCTACGTCAGTTTTCGACCAAAGCGAACATTTCCGCGCGTCCTACGTGACACGTTCGGATTGTAAGTTGTTGTGTTGTTGTTTATTTGCTATGCAAAAGTGATTGTAGCGCCTAGGATTATGTGTTCTATAACGATTGCAGTATACGGGATAAGCCATTGGATTTGCTGGATCGAATGTTGGAGCTCGATCCGAAGAAGCGGATTACCTCCAAAGCAGCACTGGCGCATCCTTGGCTGAAAGATGTTGATCCGTCCAGCGTGCCACCGCCAAAACTTCCGGATTGGCAAGATTGTCATGAGCTATGGTCAAAAAAGCAACGCAAAAATCGTTCAGCGAACAGTGAGTCCTATTGCTTTCACTGGCAGATTTTGTTGTTGATAATTTATGGACCAAAATCTTCATTGCGTTAAATGAGTCAATGTTTTCTACTTAATCATGTTGTAGACAGCGTATTAATGTCACAGTCACAAATGTCGTTTGATCAGCAGCAACAACAACAGCAGCAGTCTTCAATGTTCCTCAGTTTGGCTTCGCAACAGGTGAGTTATGTTCTTTGATTGAAATTTGCGACGTATGAGAGTAGAGAAAATATGAAAGAGATGTCGCTGGTTGAACAAGTAATTTCTTCCTCTGATCTAACTTTTGACTCGAAGCTCAAATTCAGGTAAATTTTTTGATTCAGGAACTTAAATTTACAGTTTTGGGGAGAAATTTCAAGGTTCTGAGAAAATTGGTTTTACTGCCTCTTTCTGGCCAGTCATTCTTTGACTCCTGAACATGGCGTTTTCGGAAAATTCTCTTACGCAATGATTAAATTATATAGAAATTTGTATTTTTTGGGAGGGAGGCTCTCGATTTTATAGGATTTCGAAGATCTGAAATCATGAAAATGAATAGGATAATATAATTTTTATAACTACTGAAACAGTCTAAAAATTAGATATATGACAATACAACGGGTGGTGTCACATTTCTGTGGTATCCTCAAGAAAAAAAGCGGTCCGGATAATTTCTGGCTATTCTGACTGTTTACTTTTCGCATTAGGACTTATAGCTCCTTCCTTAAAATTCCTTAAATTGCAAGTACATAATTTTATTTGTTGATTTCGCATACGTGAAGGCGTAATGACGGTTTTTACTTACAAATGGTCGAGTGTGACTGTGTTTGTTTGTTGTTAACTAATTGTTGTGATACTTGTAGAGCTTATTGCCAGCAATCTTTAGATAGCGACAGAAATTTCAGGTCATGAAAAGTTACTGATGGCATAATTGTCAAAGTCAAAGAGATAAAACTCCCTCTGAATTTGCCCTGTTTGAGATGAAAAGGCATTGTGGAAGTAGCCTGAGTCAATAATAATGACCAAGCGCTGGCAAGGCTGTTTGTGATTCCTTCTTTTGAGAGTTGCTTATAGGCAATTTGTTGCGTTCCCTGGGCTTGAACTCCTCAGTCGACTGGCCGGGTACTATGGCCCGTCAAGTCGGCTCGTCGACAATTACGGGGGGTAGGCACGAAGTTCTCGTTCTTCGTACGTCCTGGTTGGCGCACTTCACGAGTTCACACGAGTCGGTCGACTGCACTGAACGGGAGTAACACTACTCCTTCAGACAGACACTGCGCTGAATGCAATA